TGCAAAGAGTTCAATTAAGAAAATAAGGCACATAGACATGGTATTCTAAGCTAACATGGTAACTATGCATGCTAGTATATTCAATTAAAGGTGTAAACAGGGAATTTCTCATTAAAAATCAGGTTTTTCAACAAATAGCATGTGTACGCACTCGTCACCTCGCGTACACGGCGCTCACATAGTAAAATCAGTACCAAATCCTAAGAGGATTTCCCCCACACAAGGTTAGGCAAGCCACTTACCTCGAACCAAGCTAAATCAGTCGGTAGCAATGCTCTTCCCACGAATATCCGGATCCGAATGGCCCAAATCTAGCCAAAATCAATTACATACCATAAATATAGCTATAAGAAACTAATCTAGTCAATGAAATTTAAGCTAAAGCGAGAAATTAGGAAATCGTCCCAAAAGGTCTCCCCGGGTCCACGTCTCGGAATCGGATAAAAGCCACAAAATATGAATGCCCATTCACTCACGAGTCCAACCATATAAAAATTACTCAAATCCTACCTCGAATCCCCTTCCAAAACCCGAAATCTTAGTTGAAGAACTTCTTCCAATTTTTCCAAAATTTCAACCCCAAAATCCGAAATTAAAGATGAAATTAATGATAGATTAGTGGGATATAACCAAAATAGAGTGTAGAATCATTACCCAATCAATGTTTCTGAAAACCCCCCAAAATCTCGTCCAAATCCGAGCTCCCAAACTCATGTTTTGATAAAAATGGCCAACCCCTTGTTTTTGAAATGTTTAATACTGCCCAGTGATTCCTTAATCGCGATCGCGAAACTAGCCTCGCGATCGCGAAGCACAACTTCGTTGCCCCATAATTTAACCCTACGCGAACGCGATTTACTGGCTCTCATACTTATGCGATCGCGAACAACTCCACGCATTCGCAAAGAACAACACTTGAATTCCACTACTGCTTTACTTCCTCTTCGCGAACGCGGCCTAGCCCACGCGTTCGCGATCATATCCTGACCAACCTACGCGATCACGTCCCCATATTCACGAACGCGAAGAACAACTTCAGCTGGCCACTCTGATGCCTTACGCGATCGCGAGACCTCTCTTGCGAACGCGATGAAGAAATGTCTGCAACAAAAACACCAGAAATCTGCTATCTTCTCTTAAGTTCAAAAGGTCCGTTAACCATCCGAAATCAACCCGAGGCCTCCGGGACCTCAACCAAACATACCAACAAGTCCTAAAATACCATACGAACTTAGTCGAGCCCTCAAACCACATCAAACAACGCTAAAATCACGAATCATCCTCTGATTCAAACTTAAAAAACTTGAAACTTTCAAATTCGGCAACCGATGCCGAAACCTATCAAACCACGTCCAATTGACCCTAAATTTTGCACACAAGTCATAATCGACCTTGCGGACCTATTCCAACTTTCGTAATCGGAATCCGACCCCGATATCAAAAGTCCTCTACCGGTCAAAATCTCCAAAACTTCGACTTTCGCCATTTCAAGCCTAAATGAGCTACAGACCTCCAAAACACAATCGAGACACGCCCCTAAGTCCGAAAACATCTAACGGAGCCGACGGAACTCCATTCCAGAGTCGTCTTCACACAGTTTCGACTACGGTCCAAATCCTAAGGCTTAAGATTTCGTTTAAGGACTAAGTGTCCCAAAACACTCCAAAAAACAAAACGAAACCTCCCGGCAAGTCACAATTGCAGAAATAGATATGGTAGAAGCATTTAAAAGGGGATCGGGGCTCTAACTCTCGAAACGACCGGCCGGGTCATTACAATTCAAGACATAAGAGTAGATAGGATTTTGTAATTTTTATCTTATTTGATTTTATTTTTGATGTAATGACGGGAACCGCGGACCGGAACCTCGACGGCACTTCCATCGACTCTCCACCTTGGTATCCTTCTCTATTTTTCATACTTCCAAACTACATGTGACATGATTCCTTTATAGCCAAGGATATGTAGGCAGCTCAAATACTAAGGCTCAGTCACAATCTTTTTATCCACCTTTTATTTTGGTTTGAATAAGTGTGAGGCCAGGAATCAATTACGTTGCTCACTTAATTCTTTGTTCAAAAATACTTCGTGTTTCCAAGCAAATAGGGGTAGTTGCAAGCACGTAATTTTCAACCCACATAATTTTTATTTTAGTATTCTTGTATTTTAAAATATTTGCATGAGTTACTTTAATAGCATTTAGTCTATTTTTACTTTTAATTTTATTCGTAGAACATAAAATCTGACATCGAATATTCTTCAGCCTCATACATTTTTTATTTTTATTTTAAACAAACTTTGGTTAAATGGGAGCGGACGAATTANTATATAGGGGATTCTACACGTTTTAGGGGCTGGACACACGATTTGGGAGATTTTTGGACAGAAAAATTGGGAGGAAAATGAGAAGAAAGAGGGCTAGGGTTTTAGAGAGTTCCTTCTCTGTTTCTTGGAGATTCAGAAAATAGACACAAAAAAAAAAAGTAAATATATTTTGAAATTAATTTGTGATTGCATTACAGAAAAAGATACAAAAAAAATATTTTGTTTCTTCATTTTCGTTTTGATTTTTGATTTCGGAAACTATGGGGTTCGTTTGATATTAAGTTTGATTGAGTTGATTGCTGGAGCTTTACGTTGAAGTGGAGTTCGAGTTTTGTCCGGCGAGGTCAGGCCGTTCGTTTTTCTGCTTCGATTTCGCCATTTTGATTTAGCCGCTGTTTCTTTTCGCTGGATTCGGAATCACAATTTTTAGCTGATTGTTCTTCCTTTTCTGATTAATATAAGGAACTTTGCACTTCAGGTCCAACTCTCTTCCTCTCTTACTTTTATGGTGTTGATCCGAAGATGATAAGAGCTTGGGGTAAATGATTAGTATGGATTTGAATTTTGGCTCATCTAGAGCAGAGTGATTGAATCGAATTTGCTTTCTTGAATTACATTGAGATGATCTGTTATATTTTTGGTGTTCATAGTGTGTTGTAATTTCGAACCTGCTTGTTTTTTTTAACGGGTAATTAGTGATTTTGAACACTATATGCTAGTTTGTCATCAACTAGATCTAATGAACTAGGCGTTTAAATGCATGTTATGTTCATTGTTAAGTTCAATTAAGTTAGTTTCCACTTTAACATGACAGTAGCTATTGTTGCCTATGTAAAATCAAGGCATCTAACTGTAAATGAACTTTGCTATTCATGTGAACTTTGTGCTAACTTGTCATTCTAGTTGCTGATCTAACTTCATAGTACTTATCCAGGAATTATGCTTATATTCTAATGAAAGAATTGCAGCATGTAAAAGTGAAAGTATATTAGAGTTACTTGTTGGATTTTTCATCTTTGCTTGGAATATCTTTAATTGGAATATCACACAGCTTTTGCTATGGCTTTGATCCATTCTTTACTTTGCTTATTTCGTCGGCTTTACGTCCTTCACGTTGTATCCTTGTGGAACCTAGTATTTGAATGCTACATATGCATGATTGACGAGATGCAGGGATGGGTTTAATGGGGATTTTATAAAGCGCTTATCATACTTGAATCCACCATTTATTTATTTTCTTTTAACTGTTTTTTGTGTTTTTCTTCTAGCTTATATGTTCTGGATACTTATTTTATTCGATTAGCCGATATCTATTTGAATGATTGTTTTGCCGTGGGAGTTGGGAAAAAGGATCAAGCCTATTAGTATTTATTTCACATGCATGCTTTAGGATTTGGCTCGGAATGTTAAAAGAGCATGAGCATGAAATGAAATTTTCTTTTATTTAGTTTTTTTTTTATTTACTTTATTACTCGCTAGTAGCATGTTTAAGCCGACCATACTTGGGTAGGCAAACTTTTAGGACGTTTGTTGTTTTAGTTTCTTTTGAGCCGAGAGGTTGCCCCTTTAGTCAATTATATTACCTGGAGAATGCCCCGAAAAACTTGTAAATATTTTTAATCCAGGAAATACCTCGTGGTACATGTATTTGGAGGCCATGATGAGCATCGTGGAGGAAGTAGGTTAGTTTAGGACTTTTCTTTTCCTTTTTTTATTAGGCAGGGACAACCTTGAACCTCTTTGTGTTTATTTTCTTTTGTATGTTTTACCTCAATTAGAATATTCTTTAAAGCCAACCGAATCAAGTTTGCAATCATGTTTTTTACGGGACGTAGGGAGTGCCTAACCAACGGTGGATCTAGGATTTTGTATAAGCGGGTTCAGGAAAAAACAAGGTAAACAATTGTATAATCTGCTCCTATAAACAAAATTTGCTCATTGCTCTTTTTTTCCACGTACTCTCGAGAGCCAAAATGAAGTCATTTTAAATTCATGCTATATTTTTAAAAACAAAGTTGGGGAATGTTTCTTAAAAAAAATTACAAATTACTATTTACTTTTTCTTCTTAGTACAATTTATCTATATATATAATAAAGTTAAAAAAAGAGTAATAAACTAAAATTTTGATACAAACGATTAGAAGAAAATAGATGATACACTAAACTAAAAATATAAAATATACTAAATTAAGTAAACAAATAATAATAATTTCGGCAAAGCATTCTCATGTTTTTAGCAAAAACTATGTAAGAGAGAACAAAAATTCATTTAGTAGAAAGATTTAATTTATTGAAGTAGAGTTAATTAAATAACTTTTATTCGACATAAACAAAAACTATAAATAGAAATATGAAAAACATGTTAAGATGAAACCCCATATTAATTTGAAAGAAGATGAAATGGAAACAAAGAAGAAGAAGGTGATTTCATCGGGTTTAGAAATGAAGAAGAAGAAAGTCTTCAAACAAAGAAATGTGACTTACTTGTATCATTTTATTTTACATTTTCTTTTAGTTAGATTACTTGTATAAAGAGAACTGTGAATACAACAAGAAAAAAAGGATTCTGCAACTTCATTGCTTTTTTTTTTTTTTACATGATATCAGAGCAAGGTTAGATCGATCTTTCAATTCTCAGTCAAATCCTATATCTTATTTTTATTCGATCTTCATCCATGACTGGAACAGAAGCTTCCTCAATTCTCACTATTATTGGCTCGACCAGTCAAACAAAGAATCATGACTCCAATTACCCTTACTTCTTTCATTCTTCAGATGCACCTGGGATGAGCCTCGTCAATGCACCTTTTGATGGCAGAGGTTTCCCAGGTTGGAGGAGATCCATTCTCATTGTTCTTTCAACCAAGAAAAAACTTGGCTTCATCGATGGCACTTGTGTAGAATCAAAATTGAACTCAGCAGATTATCCTCTGTGGAGTAGAGATAATGATATGGTTACCTCATGGTTGCTTAACTCAATGTCAAAGGACATAGGTGACAGTGTCATCTATTCAAAAACAGCAAGGAATCTATGGAACAGTCTAGAACACAGGTTTGGCCAGTCAAATGGGGCCAAACTATATCAGCTGCAAAAGAAAATTTCAGCATCAGTTCAAGGAAATAACAGTATTTCAAGCTACTTCACTACACTCAAGAAACTATGGGATGAAATGGATTCACTAAGCTCTCATCTAAATTGCTCTTGTGACTGTGTGTGTGGTGGAAAGGCTAAAGTGTCACGACCCAAACTAACCCCTGTCGTGATGGCGCCTATCGTGGAACTAGGCAAGCCGACTCATTTCCAAAACAAACTGATATTTTTATTTCAAAGATAATTTCAAGATTATTTAACATAAAACCTCCATTAAAAGAGTTCAAATTAAAGAAAAACAGAAGTGCGGAAAAGAAAAGCCCGACATCGGGGTGTCACTAGTCATGAGCATATACTACAATCTGTCTAACAATATCAAGGCTAACTTAACCCGAAAAATAGCTAAATACAGCTAGAGGAAGATAGGAGGGAGAAGAGCAGGGGCTGCGATCGCCAAACAGCTACCTTACTATCTCCAAGAAAATCTGCAACCAGAACACTCAATACCCGCTACCGGGTCCAGCTATACCTAAATCTACACACAAGGTGCAGGGAGTAACGTGAGTACGCCAACTCAGTAAGTAACAACAATAAATAAAGACTGAGCAGTAGTGACGAGCAATAAAGCATATAACGTTCATATCAGGAAATCTCAGTAAAATACCACATGTTTTTTTTTAAATCAGGATTTGAATCAAATTATCAAGTTTAAACCCAGTTCCAGTAAAAATCATTTAAAGATATTTTTTCCAACAATTTTTCACATAGATAAGGCTCAATGCAAAGGTGAGCAAAAATGATAAAATCATAAACAGCCCCTTGGGCAAAATATCACTCATATACAGCCCCTCGGGCAAACCTCACAGTCACTCGTGCCACTCGGGCATACCTCACAATCATTCTTGCCACTCGGGTATACCTCACAATCACTCTTGCCACTCGGACATACCTCACAATCACTCATACCTCCCAGTCACTCAGCACTCGGCACTCGCACTCAGTAGGTACCTGCGCTCACTGGGGGTGTGTACAGACTCCGAAGGGGCTCCTTCAGCCCAAGTGCTATAATCTGCACGGACAACTCACGTGCGATAATAATAAAGTATGTTGCAGGCGAGCAACCC